AATGTATAAAGTTCCTATAAATCTGCTTTAAATGTTTAGTAAGTATTATTTTTAATTGATTAAAAATTAAAATAATATTAAAATAAGAAAAAACTTTTTTACGCATATGCCTCGCCTAAGCTAGCCTAGCTTTGGGCTTGGTCTCCACGCATCGCCACGCATTACGCCTTTTAGAACACTTTTATAGGGTAATTGAACTTGATTGACTAATCACCTAGAAATAATTTAAAGTGATTTGTTGTTTGTTAATTGCTAATTTAATAACCCCGCTACTTATCACATAGGGTCTAAACTAGTTAACTAAAATCGATTAACGAATGTACTTTCACTTTGTTGCTTGGTAACCTTATACCATAACATGACCGCTCAATATACACACAGCCAATGCTAACACTCTTCTTATTTCAGTCGTGGGTGATATATCGCTAGATTCATCTAATCTTTTAGTATCCCTCAGTTTGTCAACTAATCTTATATCTGTCGATTAACTTGTTAATAACAGTTACATTGCGTCCTTTTTTTCTTCTGGTTATCATGTGTAGGATCAAGTGTCCGAAAGTATACAATCTACTCCCTTTGTGGAAAAAGGAGGGAAAAATTTCTAGGTAGAATTGCAGTTGTTGGCTAATAAGTGCAATTTGAGTACTTATTCAGACCATGTTATTAAATGTTATGTTGTCAAAGTGTTAAATTTTGCTTAATTTAGGTTTATTTTCTCTTATTTCAGGGTTGAACCCGTTTCAAAATGATTGAAAAAGAAAAATGATCAATTGGCTATTAAATAGAAGTTTGTGGACTAAATCTCACTTGATAAAAGTTGGATGATCAAAATCAAGGGGAGAATGAAGAAAAGGATTAACTTGCATTACATGGAAGAATTAAGAACTTGAAAGCAAGCATTAATCTAAATGGGCCTTAGTTTGGACTTTATTTGGAATTAAATTTAAAAATCACTTGGACTCCTAATTGGACATGAGGCTATATTGAGGAAATTACAAAAAATCAGGTGTTTAAAGATTGCTTTTTAAAAATCAAGTCTAAAATTTATTTATACAAAATCAGATAATATATTAAAACCCTAATTCACTAATCTTCCCCTCTCCATTTCTCTTTCTCTCTCTCCATCATTCTTGGAGCGGCGCCCTCTCCTCCCTCTCTCTTCCTCTCGTCTCTATCACTCTTGTCACCCTGCAAGCAGCGCTATAGTGAGCGATTACCAGCCGACGAAGACACTCTCAGGCAAGGAGAAGATGCGCACAGTGACTTTGTACAGATCGGCGATGGTGGTTGTTCATCGTTGCTGCGCGTAGCTTTTCCATGCCTGATCGACAGTGGTGGTTGTAGTGCTCAGATAACGATCGCTTCCACACTTCACTGTGCAGCGACGCTTGGCAGTCTCTCAGTAGTGTCGCGACGCTATAGAGAGTCTGTCGACGCTGCCGTTATTCTTTTTT